ATATCTGTAGCGTCTGCAGACCAAAAAGTCTCCTTCCTTATTCTATCTGTAGTGTTTAGATTCTATCATACTTTTGATGTAGACATTCTGGAGATTAGAGCATTTACAGTATTTCTATTAGCCTATTGTTCCCGTAAGTTTCCGGGTTTTGGGATGGTGTTGTAGACTTCCGCATTTCCTTTGAGTTGTATAGGCCGAGCGGCCTTATATGCAGTTATTATTTTGATATATTCAGTTCTAATTAATTATTCCACAAGTTAGGTTGTTATTTCCGCATTGTTAGGCTTACCTAGTTATAGGGACTAGGTGCCATCACGACATGTTCACGGAGGGCGAAATGGGGTCGTGACCAGCATATCTTCTATTATAAAGATGCGCCGAACTCACCGTGCACGTGATGAGGTTTCCATCGCCACTCTGTTGTCCATGGCCACTCCTTCCGGTAGCGAGGATGTAGCGGTGGAGGAGGGTGATAGTTTCCCCACCGTGGAGGAGATACTCCCAAGAAATCCTATGTTCAGGAACGATTTCCACAAGGAGCCTGCTCCTTCCCCTGTTCCGGCGATCTTAGAGACCGGTCCAACTCACATAAATGAACTCTGGTCTACGTACAATATTCCTCCTTATGTCGAGATGGTTCCAGCTGGGGAGGACCTCGTGGAGGTCCACAGACCGGGATATTGTGCTTTTTACGTGTATCCTATTGTGATCGGTCACACCCTCCCTCTCCTTCCGCTGGCGGATGAGTTCTGTTGATTCTACGAAATCTGCCCGGCGCAGCTGTTTCCGTATACTTATAAGATTTTTCTGGTGCTGACGAAGTATGCGGAGTTGGCTGGGTGTGAGGTTGGTATTCACCACCTTTTACATTTATTTTCCCCGAGTTTTCACAGGGGTACCATGATATACCTGCGACATCGTGGGACCAGGGGGTTGGTGGTTGGAATGGACGACAGGCCAAGCCGAAAGTTTTGGCACAAATATTTCTTCATCAAAATGGAGCATTTGGTATCGGACCCCGCTGGATTTCCAGAGCAGTGGAATCACAACCGTAGGTGTTGGCAGCGCACGCATGTTGTTTACTTTCGTTCTTTCTAATTTTTATTTACCTATGACTTTTCTGTGTAGCTGAAAGACGTGCACCCTTTCCCGCCGTCGGCATTGAGGATTGGGTAGCTCGCGTGTTACCTTACATGGTGGGTACTCGAGATTGGCCTGCCTTCCTCAAACGCTTTGGGCTGAAAGTTTCTTTTGGTAAGGGTTCCTTTCGCTCTGACCTTCGGTTGTTTGTCGTCATTTATTGATACGACCTCTTTGTGGTGATAGGTCGTAGGTTTTCAAAGAAGAAGGCTCCGGTCCCGGCATTTCGCCAGGTCGTCGCATCGACGGGGATGCAATTTACCTTAGATGAGTCCGTCCGAGGAGGTCGTACTCAAATTGTACCAACAAGGGACTCCCCTTATGAAATCGTTGTACGGGATGAGATCTCTTCTCGGCCTGTCTACCACCTCGTGGATGATCCTTCCAACGGGGATGAATCACCGTCGAGGAAAAGGAGGAGGGTGGAGCTTGGAAGGCCATCGCCACCGATCTTGAAAAGAAAAGAGTTGTTACTTAGGGAGTGGCTTCCTTACCTTGGTCAGGTACAAGGGCCGTTTTTATGGCGGATGCCATTTTGGCGGGGAGATCCCCTAGGGACGAAGGGGCATATCAAGGCGGGGGATCTGTACGATCTGCTGAGGGTGGTGCGTCGTCTTCTGTCGGAGGATGTGGAGTGGTGCATGCCGAGGATGACGTTTCAGGTTCGGACGTCGACCCAGAAGATGTGCGGGCTTTCTTGGAACGACATACTCGCGTAGAAGTGTGGACGGAGGGTCCTGACCGACACATCGTCATTCCCGTGGATTATGACTTGCTGGCGAATTCCGAGCAGGCAGCATCGGCGTTTGCCCATATGTGCGCTGCTTTCGAGAGTACAACGCTTAAGGCGATGAGTGACGCAGAGCTATCGCCGAGTATTTCCACTTACAAGTTACATGGCTCTAATCCAACACCTATAGTTAACGTATATTATTGATCCCACCATAACCCTTTCATGGTAAGTTTGACATGATTGGTTGCATATATATGTGACTGAATAGCTAGCTTTTGTTCAAAAGAATCGCATAGTTGAGGACTTAGCTAAAGTCTAAGTGGACGTTTGGACATCAGAGTTGTGAATTTCAATAAAAGCGAAAAAAGAAAATTTAAGTTAAAAATGGTATTTAGAAATTGGAGTTGCGTTTGGACATGAATACAAACTAGAGTTGTTTTTGAATTTTTGTGAGCGGTTTAGAATGAAAATTGTGAAAATAACTTTTTGGAGGTTTACGAATTCCGAAAAAATTCGGAATTCAACTTTAAGTTGGATTTGGAATGTTCATGGCCAAACACTGATTCCGAAAAAAAGTAAAACAAAAATAGGAAAAAGCTAATTTTTTTTTTTTTGGTTTTTTCATTTAAAATCTGACACTGTCAATTGTGTATGACGATTGAAAGTACGACGTAGACGAAAAAAGTTAAAGACTTCATATACTCCCAGTTTAAAATTGTTTAACTTGGAGAGAAGAAAGAACAATAAAATGTAAAAATGATATCATGTCGTGTGAATCTCTGTCATCACCCAATCTAGACTTTTCTATGATGCAGTTTTAACTACGCATTGTAATAACAGAGTACAGAATTTGGTTCTTGGTATGAAACATTTGATTTCTGAAATTAAATTCTGCAATAATATTTTGTACCGAATAAAATGTGAAAGAATGAATACATTGTTTGAGCAAATAATTGCTAAATCAATCAATAATAACTTAATGGGGTGAATCTTAGTTGAGCTTAATAAATGCTAGATCAAATAGAACGAAAGTCTAATACAACGAGAAGATTTTAGTAAGGCTAATCAGTAAACACTACAACAATATGCATCTATATCTATAGATTCTTAGCTACGAATGTAAAAAACGTGGCTATTACCGAATATTAGCCACAAAAATTATAATTTGGTAGCTTTTCACAATTTCGTAAAATTTCTTAGCTACACAAGTTAAACTGACAAAGCTAATTTCTCATTTTTGCTATAGTTTCTAACTATCGTGGCAATAGCTGCCAAAATAGCTACAAATTTATTGCTACTCTAAAGATTTATAGCTAATTATTTTGCCACGTGATTGGAGTTGTTATAGCAATAAAGTATTTTTTGCCACAATAATTTATGTCATTCAAAATCATGTAGCTAAATGAACATCTTTGCTTCAATTTATAAACTCTGTGGTAGTAGTTAGCTTAATAGCTACAACTAATTATCATGACAAAATGATATAGCCACGAATTCAAATAGCTACAATAAGTGGTGTAGCTAATTCTAAGCTTTTACTATGAATTTAAAATCGCTGTAGCAATTGTAATCTTTTAGCCATGATACACGTGTTTGAACATAATTTTATAGCTAAAAGAATGATCTTGCTTCAAAATGATATAGCTACCAACTTAGAGACAAAAAACTTTCGTAGCAAAGTATAATCTTTTTTTTTGGTAATTAAATTTTTTATTAATCACCAGAATATTTACAAGTAATGAACCATAGCACGACTACAACCCAGTCTGCTATCTAACTATGGGACTGAAAAAATAACATTTTCTACTAGACTAACTAAATACAAAACTGTTGAACCGTTTCTTTAATTCTAGTAGGAGCTCGGACATTACACACATATGCTATTTTCCTCACCAATTGTTCTGCCCTCCTTGATCTCTTTTCGAATCTACGTTGATTCCTTTCGATCCATATTGCATGCACCCATTCTGTATATACCATCTTGAATACCTGGTATGCAAAATATAATCTTTATCATGCACTTGCAGTAATTTCAAAAATAGTACTAACATAACTAAAGTTTCATAGTTAGATGCATAATTATAGCAATATTCATGTATATGTGCTTCCCGGTAGATTTCTACATTCGTCAAATCAATACAGAACTTATTTCGATAATCTATTGTTCTAACAAAAAAATTGGCAAGTTTCCCATAGATTTGGCTGAAACTTGACAAAAGAGTTTTTGAAGTTCAATTGAAAAATAATTTGTTGAAACTGAAATTGTATTTGGACATGCATTTTACTTAAAAAAAATATTAAAGTTTTGTAATTGGAGAAAAGTTCCAATGAAAATAGGTCAAAACTAGTTTTTTTGGAACTTTTCCTTCAATTTTTTTTTTTTTCACAAATTGATTAAATTTCATGAACAAAAAATATTTTTAATTTCTTTTTTAAAAAAATAATTATAATCTATGTCCAAATGGGAGCCTAATATTTAGAGTGAAAATAAAATTTCCTGGTGATTCAGAAGTAGAAAAAGAAAGGTAACCAATTGTGTTGACTATGAAGAAGAAAAAGTGTAAGGACAAGAGGACGTACTCCTTCCCATTTCTCACGCGGAAAATGTGCAGTTGTCGAATTATTTAAAGCATCAAATAATGGTTGTATACGGCCGAATTAACTGAGCGACAATTTGGTTGCAAGGGAACACTCTGGGTTAAATTTTTTCTCCTTTTTATCTCTATTCACCTCCCCAATCCTATTAAAAGATTTTCTGATAAGAGACTACATAATGTAGAAAATATTGTTGAATGATATATCTTTCCACTTATTAAGAGCACTCTTCCTAATAATACTTCACAAATAGTGGCGTATCACCATAATTTCATCAACCTTGTACGTTGTAACTAGATAATCCATCAACATACACCTTATAGAAAATAACATTTGAACTCATTTAAAGTATAATTATCAACACAACACTATTAAATACTAATTCATATTCAGTCAAAATAATTCAATATATTAAATTAAATAATAAATTTAGTAAAAGAATAAATAATTAAACATCATCTCCCAAGCAAATAAAGAAAAGCTTTAACATTAAATGAGTATAAACAAATATGCATATAAGACTTCTAAATATTTAGAGTAACAAATCTTCGTCATCGGTTTCAGGTTCTGATTCGATGTCTTCAATAATATCATCAGCTAAGGTAACATTAGTGCTGATAACATCAAGATCATTTCTTCTCCAATACATAAAGTCTTCATCTTCCTTAAATGTACAAGAGAAATCTTGAGCATCTTGTTGAAAAGTTTCTTCATTGACAGTACCATCAGTAAAGTAAGAAGAATGACCATTCAAGACAATTGACCAATTGGGATGAAGATTATCCCTGACATAAAAAACTTGTTCTGCTTGAGATGCAAGCACGAATGGTTCATTTGTTGCTAACTTTCGGTTAGTATTGACGCTAACAAAGTCATTGCCAATTTTATTCAGGTTATCACATAAAACAGTTAGGACTACAAAGACGGGAAGAACAATAAAATTCCTACAGCAGCACCCACCATACAACCATAAACACTCAAAAGATAAACTAAACTAAACTATAAGTATGACAAATTGAATAAAAAATACAGTGAAAACTTACTCGATGAAAAAACCAATTATCGAAGTTCATGTCACTATTACTCTGCTCGTACTCCCTGTTTAAAAATAAAAATAATAATTGAGAAAAAGCTAACAAAATCAAATTGCAATGTACAATACTATAAAGAAATATACCGTAAAAATGGTTGAACTTCTTCACAATTTCTCAAAACATAAAGATGAGTTTGTTTTCGCTCAAACTCTTTAAGATTTCTAGATGTATCTTTTAACAAAGGGCAACCTTTTTGTTCAAATATTGACAATCCACAGTATGACTCAACACGATCATCTTTATTATTTTTTCCCACTCGATTATACCCTTTTTCACTTCCATGTAAATACCTTGAACAAAATATAAGACTTCTTCAACAATATAACCTTCTGCAATAGATCCTTCAGATTGACTTCTATTGCGAACATAACATTTCAGTTTGCGCAAGAATCTACATAATATAGCATTCAGTTAAACGCTTAGCATGAAAAATTAACAAGCCACATAAAATTAAACCGAAATTATAAAATACAAAACATACCGCTCTATTGTGTACATCCATCTGTATTGTACAGGTCCAGCAAGCTTAGCCTCTCTTGGAAGATAAATGACCAAGTGCACCATAATATCAAAAAATGTTGGCAAAAATATTTTTTCTATTTTTCTCAATGTAATTGGAATTTGAGTTGCAAGTTGATCCAACATATCAACTCTTACAGTTTTTGAACATAATTCTCTAAAGAAAATACTTAGCTCGGTAATAGCATCATAGACATGGTTTGGTAGGACTCCGCGGATTGCAAAAGGGAGCAATTGTTCCAAAAGAAGATGAGAGTCATGACTCTTCATTCCAAAAATTTTACGATCCTCTAACTTTACACACCGTGATAAATTGGAAGAATATCCATCTGGAACCTTAATAGTTTTCAAGAACTTGCATACTTTAGACTTCTCATTTGGTGATAAAGTATAGCTTGCTGCTGGATAATACCACTTTCCATCTCTTTGAGTTGGATGCAAATCTTTTCTTATACCCATTTCCTTCAAATTACGACGAGCATTCAAATTATCTTTCATTTTTCCTTCCATATCTAATAGTGTCCCAATAATATTGTCACACACATTTTTTTCAATATGCATGACGTCTAAATTGTGGCGTATTAGATTATTTTTCCAATAAGGAAGTTTGAAAAAGATGCTTTTCTTCCTCCAATTATGAATGCCTTTACTTTTTTCGTATCTTTTTCTCTTTTGGGTCTTTCCATATTTAGTGTCTTCCATGCTATCCAACTGATTTAAAATATCATCTCCAGAAAGAATTTTTGGAGCAGGTCTTCTTTCTACTTCCCCATTAAAATCATGTTTATTTTCCCGCCATTTATGATTAGGCGATAAAAACCTACGAGCACCCATGTAAGAAAACTTACAATCATACTTTAATCGAGTAGACGGAGTCTCTTTGTTGCATGAAGGGCAAGCCAAAGCTCCCTTTGTGCTCCATCCAGACAAGTAGGCATAAGCTGGAAAATTATTTATAGTCCATAAGAGTGCTGCTCGCATACAAAAGTTCTCCTTTCTCGAAGCATCATATGTATTGACTCCATTATACCACAATTCTTGCAACTCATCCACCAAAGGTTCTAAGTATACATCAATATCATTTCCAGGAGCTTTAGGGCCAGGTATCAACAAAGATAAGAAGCAATATGGTTGCTTCATGCACATCCAAGGGGGTAGGTTATACACAGTAATAATTACTGGCCAAGTGCTATGAGAAACACTTAAATTGCCGAAAGGATTTATTCCATCAGATGCTAATCCAAGTCTAGCATTACGAGGATCTCTGGCAAAGCCCGGGTTAGATGTATCAAAATATTTCCGTACATCTGAGTCGGTTGGATGTCTAAGAACCCCATCTTTCAAACGTTGATCATGATGCCATGTCATGTCTGAAGTTATTTCTGATGACGTAAACAACCTTTGCAATTTTGGTTTCAAAGGAAAGTAACGCAAAACTTTTCGAGGAATTTTGCTCCCACTCTTTTCTGTATTAGCCCCATTAGCTTTTTGACCTTCTCTTGATTTCCACCTAGACTCGCCACAAACCAAGCAAGATTCAGCTTTTGCATTATGTTTCCAAAACAGCACACAATATTTTTCGCAAGCATGTATTTTTTCATAACGAAGACCTAAACTTCGAATCACTTTTTTTGCTCCATAGAATGATTCCGATAAAGTTTCACCAGAAGGAAGTGCTCGTTTAATTAACTTCATTATGCAGTCAGTTGCTTTATCACTAAATCCATAAAGGCACTTAATTTGAAACAACTCCACAATCATTGACAACTTGGAGAATTTCTCGCAACCAGAATAAAGTTGTTGTGCAACATCCTCCAGTAATTTGAAAAATTCCGAAACTGGTTCAGAAGGATCAACCCCACCAGAATAATTCGTGATATCAGGGCCAGTAGCATCATAAATCATTTCAAATATATCATCACCTTTTCCTTTTCTTACTTCCTCTTGTCTTACTTCATTATTGTTAGTGATTTTCTCTTTGGCTGCAAATTCTCCATGGAAAAGCCAGCGAGTGTACCCCTTGACTATCCCAAAAATTATTAAATGTTCCTTTACTTCGTCTCTAGTTTTGTGAAAAATGTTGTTGCATTTTTTACAAGGGCAAGGAATTTTACCTTCTGGTTCTGTGTGCTTAAAAGCAAATTGAAGAAAATCTTCAACTCCTTTTAAATACACATCGCTCAATCTATCGTTACAGCGCATCCAAGACTTGTCCATTTCAAAATTTCCTACAAAGAAAAATAAAATAATATCAAGATGCTTAAAAAAAAAAAGATCAATTAACCATGGTTATACAATTTAGAGGTCAATTTTGCTACATTCAGAAAGCTCAATGTGCAATTTGAAAGATAAATGTAACTGAACTTATCAGTTACTCACTTATATATCTTGAAACAGGAAGCAACTCTTACACAGGATGATTGTGATGATGAAAAACTAGAAGGTATTATGCACTGGATGAAAGAATCTATAGAAATTGCCACTAAAATCACCTTAGAATTATCGGGTCGATTTTCGTGTACTTTTTTGGTGTTGCAGGGACAATGCATAGTAAAATCAGAAAAGTGCCTATGTATTTGGTTGATAGAAATGATGCAGGGAAGATGATTTTCTTATACCAAGGATCTGGGATGCAGTTAGGGACTGAAGGTTTTGCTGTTGGATTCCTCTACATGGTTGTTGGATTGTTATTGGCATTTATGACTCATGTTTTTGTTTGTGTGAAGAACAGGGGAGCGCAAAGGTTGTTGATGGCTTTTGGGCTCATCGTTTCCCTTGGTACCAGATATTTTGGCATTCCACGGGGATTGCACGGCATCGCAATTAACCTTATAATCTGTATGTAATAATTAATCTAAGATAGCCAGAGTATTTGCCCATAAATTTTTATCGCTTAACTCATAAACTTCTATTAATCATGGTTATTAATATACATTACTTTATCTAATTTTAAATTCTTTTGAGGACTCCTCCCACAATACACACAAAGATATAACAAGATCACATTAAACAAACATTACATCTTTCATACTGGAAGAGGCCATATGGCATAGCAACCCCAATAAACAAAATTTTTTTTTTGCTCCTACAACGATAACAATCAGTATTCAACACAAAATCAAAGAAAATTTATGATATGTTGGAGCCAATTGTCACGATCCGAATTTTCCATTCTCGGGGGTCATGATGGCGCCTACTCGTAGAAGTTAGGCAAGCCACAAAATATAGAAGTTCTAACTCTTTCATTTCAATCCTTTTTAACAACTTGAATTAACAGGTGATCAACATTTAAATAATAGCGAAAGATGAAATCAAGCGGAAGACTTAGTCTAATTTAATACCAATATAAGTACAAGAACGCCAACATACGCCTCTACCTAGAAACCGGTGTCACAATATCACGAACTGTCTATGAGTACTACATACAAGTGTTTGAAAAAAAAGGAAATACAGTCTGTCTCGGAAACAAGTGAAAACAGAACATATAATAGATAGGAGAGAACGCCGGGCCTGCTGATGCCTGCAGGACTACCTCGGGATCTCTGGATGGACTGAAGGCTGGCTCCCCAAGTGTTGGTACCCAAATGCTGCTCCGGTATCCGCACATAGTGCAGAGTGTAGCATCAGCACAACCGACCCCATGTTCTGGTAAGTACCTGGCCTAACCCCGGCGAGGTAGTGACGAGGCTAGGACCAGACTCCAGATAAACCTGTGCAATTATATAATATACAGCGGAAAATAACAGGATAAATAATTTAAATAGGAGGGTGGTACATGCTACGGGGAAAATGTCAAATCCAGCAGGAACTTAAAAGAAATATGAGAGAACAACTCAGAATCTACAACAAAACAATAATAATACTGTTGCGGCGCGCAACCCGATCCCTTATCTTTTACCACTGTTGCGGCGTGCAACCCGATCCAATATAATATTATTGCGGCGTGCAACCCGATCCAATATAACGTTGTTGCGGCATGCAATCCGATCCATATTTAGTATTGTTGTGGCGTGCAACCCGATCCATATTTAATATTGTTGCGGCGTGCAACCCGATCCATATTTAATATTGTTGCGGCGTGCAACCTGATCCATATTTTATATTGTTGCGGCGTGCAACCCGATCCATATTTAATATTTATATACCTTTAGCAACAACCATACCAAGTGTCCCGGCAAGGGATCAACAATAAACTATACTATCCCGGCAAGGGATTCTACAGTGAAAGTATGTCACGACCCAATTTCCAAACCCGGTCGTGATGGCGCCTCTCGTGAAGACAAGGCCAGCCAACTAACCCAATTCGTCTCTTTAACAATTATTAAACATAAATGAATGGATAAATACGACTAAATGGCATTTATAACAGATAATTTTCAGCCCGACACAGCCCGACCGGGGTGTCACAAGTCACGAGCATCTAAAGAAATCCGATCACAACTACAAGGCCGATAATATACGAAATAAAATTTGGAGTCAAAAGACGAAGTCCGGTGCCGCGAACGCCGGCGGTCACCTTGCTCAGCTACGATAACAAAATCCTCAATCAGCTCAAACCCGCTACCGCGTAACAAATACCTGCAACTGCACGCGAGGTGCAGGGAGTAAAGTGAGTACTCCAACTCAGTGAGTAATAAAGGTAAATAATAACTGAGCAGCAAGAAATCACGAAAGGCACTCCATCATGCTATATAGAACAGTGCAACCCTTTGAGAAAACAGTAAAACCGTGAAAATCCTTTAGAAAATCTATCTGGGCTCAGTTACAAACCTCTTTTGAAAATGTCTTTTTCAACAGTTAAGCAAATGAATGCGAAACAGATAGTGCAAGTCAGCACGTAAGTTAGCCCCTCGGGCACAGCACTCCATTAACAAATAACACTAGGGTATTCTGGTAATCAGTACAAGAAGTAGCATGGATGTCAATGAAATGAGAGTGCTGAATGTCATGACACGGAATACAAACAGGAACCAATGCATGAGTGCAATGCAATGCATATGACCGCTGCGGCGTGCAGTCCGAGCCAACCATATTTAACGTCGACGGCGCTCACTGGGGGTGTGTACAGACTCCGGAGGGGCTCCTAGAGCCCAAGCGCAATAATCAAGCCATCTCGTGGCATCAACCAGGCCCTCGGCCTCAATATCAATACAGTACCGCTGCGGCGTGCAGCCCGAGCCAACCATATGTCCAGAAATCACTATAACACTGCTGCGGCGTGCAGCCCGATCCATGCTCAGTCCAGAAATGCACATAAGCCACTTGGGCAATATTAAAATAACAGTTCTCAGCTCAAAACGTCAATAAAATGTTGTTTAAGGTTTCAAATCTTAGAAAAATGGTTGAGTTTGCAAATCAGTATTAAAACCCTGGACCGAGATCAAATAGTATGCAAAATAATGCGAAAACAGTGATATCAATCCCCGAAGGATTCACATAGTTGGCACGAAGCCCAATCATGGCAATCAGCCCAAATTATGATGATAACAAGTAGTTTCAGTCAAATACGTAGTAATTTCATCAATCGGGACGNATAGAACAAACTATTGAGTTTTGAGTGGGTGTTTGACCTTCGATTTGGGAGATTTTTATATGGTTAGACTCGTGAGAGTACGAGGGTTCTGAAAATGTGAAAATTATCCGATTCCGAGACGTTGGCCTGAGGGGCGTTTTGGTCATTTTACCTAATTTCGCGTCTTGTCTTTGAATTTAATAGTAGAATCAGTTGCTTGAGATGTTATTTATGATATGTAATTGAATTGAATAGATTTGGGCCATTTGGAGTCGGATACTCGTGGCAAAAGTGTGATTTCGAGTTGATTTTTGGAGCCGGTTCGAGGTAACTGGCTTGTCTAACCTTGTGTGGGGGACCTTTCCCCTTAGGATATGATATTTGGTAATTGAGTGCCTTGTACGTGAGGTGACGAGCACGTGCTTGAGCTAATTGTTGAAAAATCCGGTTTTTACTTAAGATATTGAGACTGAGTTTCCTTCATATTTGCCTTGTTTTACTTGCAATTATAACCTGTGTTAGATTAGAAAAGCATGTTTAGTTGATTTAACTTGCTTAATTGTTTAAGTTGCCTTGACTGTACTACGTGAAGCATGCTAGGCTAGTATTACCTGATGCTTGTCTTTTGTACTTCATTTCTGAATATCTTCTGGTTGTGGTTGCGCATTTACATTGGGACTATGGATGTGGGATTTCGGTAGCTCCCCCTTGTTTGTTTACTTTGGGACTGCGGGTTAGATTCCCGATAGATCCCCCTGCCTATTTACTTTGGGACTGCGGGTTAGATTCCCGATAGATCCCCCTGCACATTGATAGTTGGACTACGGGACGGTATCCCTGGAGATCCTTCGGATATACACATATGATGGACTACGGGACGGTATCCCGGGAGATCCACTGGACAGTTGAGAAAAAGACTACAGGACGGTATCCTGGGAGATCCTCATTGTTACCATTGGTATTGAGCTGTACTTATTCTGTGTTTGCTCCGTTCTTTATGTATTTGTTATTGCTTTGTTTAGTCTGTCTTATTCCACTGCTGTACTCACTGTTACTGCCTATTTTCATACTGTTGATTTATATTATATTTTTTAACCTCAGTAGGGCCCTGACCTTCCTCGTCACTACCCAACCGAAGTTAGGCTTGGTACTTACTGAGTACCGCTGTGGTGTACTCATGCCCTTCCTGCGCATGTTTTTCATGTGCAGATCCAGGTACCTCCACTCAGGCGCACTATCCTTGAGGCGGGGAGAGCTACGGAGACTTCAAGGTATATCTGCAGTGTCCGCAGACCGAAGAGTCTCCTTCTTTATTCTATCTGTAGTGTTTAGATTCTATCATACTTTTGATGTAGACATTCTGGAGATTAGAGCATTTACAGTATTTCTATTAGCCTATGGTTCCCGTGAGTTTTTGGGTTTTGGGATGGTGTTGTAGACTTCCGCATTTCCTTTGAGTTGTATAGGCCGAGCGGCCTTATATGCACTTATTATTTTGATATGTTCAGTTCTAATTAATTATTCCACAAGTTAGGTTATTATTTCGGCATTGTTAGGCTTACCTAGTTATAGGGACTAGGTGCCATCACGACATGTTCACGGAGGGCGAACTGGGGTCGTGACAAGTTGGTGTCAGAGCTCTAGGTTCATAGGAGTCACGGAACACAGGCTGATTTATTAGAGTTTCGCTGATCGGTACGGAGAC